GGCTCCGTTTAGCACTCATGTGCATTGAGCACTAATAAATCTCCCTATGAAGGTAAACATTTTGCTAACAACTGAACCAGATCAAAGATCTGCATAAGTCAGCTTTCTGTTTCTGGCCAAGATCTCTTAGTACAGGTAGTCCTCAACTTACAACTTTGTTTAGTGAGTGTCCAAAATTACAACAGCGCTAAAAAAAAATGGCCTACAGCTCACACATATGACTATCCCCATGGTCACATAATCAAAGTGGCCAACTTTGACCCATGTTCAACTGCTGTTCACATGGAACCCTTCTCCACTTCAGGCACTTGGCAACTGGTATGCATTTATGATAGTTGCAGTTTCCCAGGGATATTTGATCTCTTAATAACTGCCTTGCTTAATGTCAGAAGTTCCAGCCACAATTGTGGTCATAAGTCAGGGACTACCTGTATGCATCACATGTCGAATACTTCTTGTCCTAGTATTCCTACGCCAGCCATGCTGAGAATTGAAGTCCACATATCTTAAAGTTGCCAAAGTTGAGAAACACTGTCTTAGAGATACTCTTTAATAACTGCTTTGCAAATTAGAGACATTGTAGGCTGTATTAAGTCTGTGGTAATAACGCCCCCTCCGTCTTATAGAATCTTTTCTGACAATTTTTATTGAAAGTCATAAGCTTTGGTGGCAGCCCACAAATGTTTATGCCTTTTAATAAATTTTATTAGTTTCACAAGATGCCACCCGACCCTTACTGATTGTTATATAACCATTCAGAGCATTCTGCTCCTTCATTTTAAAATTAATTAGATCCACATCATGGCCACTTCCTGTATTACCTAATGGTGTCAAAATTATTCTGAAATCTGCTCTAAAAAGTTTGAGAACCGAGATGTGGGAAGGGTTGTTGCCAGAAGGAATAATTTTTTGCAAAGTTTTTCTAGCTAGAGGATGTGCTCTAGCATTTCTGCGCATCATAGAAAAGAATAATTAATTATCATTCTCGAGTTTGTTTTTGGAATTTTAACTATCAATAACAGTTGTAATAGCAGTACTAACAGCAGGGACGGTGCTGTTATTGTTTGCATTGTTATGACAACATTATCATTATTATTTAGTCTTTCAATCTTGGGCGCCAACTCCAGAGATGTTTTGCAGTTCGTTTGTTTTTTTTTTAAGTTTTGCTTAAATTATTTTAGATTATCAGTTTTGGCTACTCGTCAAAAAAAGATACAGTGATACAGCGAAGTTTGCTCAGTTTCAGACTAAATTTTGAGATAGTGAAAGATTAGGAAAGTCACATGCTTATTTGCAAAACAGATTGTGGCTGGGAAAGAACTCAGTGAACCCGACAATATCCTGTACACAACTTTTCATCTCGTGGGATTGAATTGTAAAATATGCTCAAACTAAATTGTGGTGGATGTTGGCGATGACCCTGTCCAGGAGCTTAATGGTCAGTCCACCCAGAGATAATAAGAGAAATTAGCTCTTAAGCATACTAATAGAGCCTTACACACAGAAGCACAAACTCTCTCACACATTGTAGGAGAAGGAGCTTAACTGGAATTTAATCTGTAGTCTTGATTCTTCACACCTGACATGTATCCTTAAGATTTATATTGACTGTTTCCTAATAATGATTTGATTGCTTATTTGTTCCCTATGACTAGAATTAAGTGTTGTCCCTTATGATTCTTGATGAACGTATTTTTTATTTTATGTACACTGAGAGCATATGCACCAAGACAAATTCTTTGTGTGTCCAATCACACTTAGCCAATAAAGAATTCTATTCTATTCTATTCTATTCTATTCTATTCTATTCTATTCTATTCATACATTCACATGCATACATACTAGTGCTAATGACTAGATGCCTGCAAAAGAATATAAACCCACCCATTCAGAATTGAAGAAGCTTCTCGGACAAGAAGTGAAATATTTTCAAGGGAAAAAAAACCCCAAGTAAGTACAGTTGCCTTTCGGAAAAGCATCTTCGGGACAATATGTGATTTACATTCTTAGGGCTGTGGGAATATTAAAAACTGGGGCTCACTTTGAACTGGGGTCGTCTGTAGTCCCACTGCTCTTAAATTGGGTGTTGTCTCAGAGCTCTGTAGCATTTACGTGAAAGCCAGTTGGAAGTAATGCAGTGTTTCTCAATCTCAGCGAGTTGAAGTCCACAGGTCTTCAACTTGCTGAGATTGAGAAACACTGGTGTAATTGCTCAGGTGGCTAGACTAGAAGCAGATGGCTTCATGTCTAAAGCCTGACTAATCCAGTTTCTTGAACCATCAAACTGGCTCTTCCATAAACAACAACAACACTCTGGAACAACACCCATTTAAAAAGCAGTGGGATCCCGGACAGCACCTTGAACGCTGAGGTTCAATTCTTCCAAAGGAAGAAATAAAATGATGGGTTGCTCAGATGCTGCCTCAAGTTCTTTGGGAAACAAGTGGGCAGTGCATGCTCTTAAAAAAGATAACCGTGCAATCAAGGAAAAGCTAAGAAATGCACTTCTTAGATCCACAGCTGACAAGCAGCGACAAGTGTGTGAAAAACAAGAGCCAGAAATTAAGGTTGCAGGGCCCCTCTCGAAAGAAGCTCAATTCAGACCGCCTAGTTAGAAGCAAAGGGACCAAGTTCAAAATTCGCTTCGCCTGTCAAAGGAGAAAATCCTTAATTTGTTGAAGCTCCAAAATAAGGGTAGCAAAGCTAAGATCAAAAGAGTCACTCAGTGGGTGAGATGGGCAATCTCCAAATTTGATATATAAAATAAATAACGTTAAAAGGTGGGGGGAGCTGTTTTCTTTCTACGGTCTTATGTTTCTTCCTGGAAAAATGTACTTTATTTATTTATTTATTCATTTATTTATTTAACTTATATGCCACTCATATCATCAAAGGCAACTTTCTGGCTAGGAGGTCTATATTTTGATATGTATACAACTGTGAATTATTATTATTATTATTAAGCCCTCCCTGGTTACCCCTTTGTTGTGGAAACAGGGCTGGGATACTCTATGAGGTTGAGAGCTATACAGGCAAAAGTATATTATTATTAGTGTAGATGGTTAGTTTTATGTAGCTACTGGAAAAATAAAAATCAATTAGCTGGATGCTTAACAGTAGCTGCCAAAAGACAAATGAAATATTTAAATGAAAGCAGAGGGAAATCTCATCTTTTTTCATCTGCTCTCCCAGAATTCCAATAAATTCCACAGAAGATAAAAACATTCAGAGCCCAAAACCAGCCTCCAGGGAAGTTTTTAAACCTTTCAAAGCCAGGTTTACCACAGGAGGTCTGCTGTTTAGTGAAGAACAAGAGAGCTTTCCTTAAAACAAATATTGCACTGTTTTGTCTAAAGGACATTTCAGTCCTTATCTTTTGGGAGTACATTAAGGTCAATCCTTTTTTATCCCCATAAAACACAACATTATAAATCTCAAGATGCGTTCTGGTTATAACCACAGAACATTCTGTGGTAAACACCCAAAACATTCAAACAGCAGAAGGGAAGGGTCCAAAACAGAAACTTGAAATTTCAATTCACTGCAGCAATTTTTCTAGCAATCTAGAAGACACCCCTGGCTGAAGTCTAATTCTGTTAATTGGCACACGTGGATACCAAGACAGTTCGGCTGGGAAGCCTCCCAAGAGATTGTGCCCGGCGCCAGCAATTCCTACTGGAGATTACTGGGGACAAAAAGCACATTTTCAGTTCCTCGTCAGAAAGTGGGCAACGAAATGTCAAAATCCTTCCCTTTTTACCCCCTTTTTTAGCAAAGGTTTCAGGCAAGGGTTGCAAGAGCGACTAAAGGAATGTGCCCATCTCTTGCCCTGCCAACTTTGTTGTCCTGTGTACCCATTGAAAAAAAAAGAAGAAGAAGAACCAATTAGAAACAGGCTGGCAAAAACCTAGGGGCAGTTTTTATTAATAAGGAAGGAAATAAAAACAAAGGTATGGATAGGCATGCATCCCTTCCAATGCCCTTTACTTCGTACAGCTGTTACAGGGAGGCCCTGACTGGAAGCCTTCCCTTAAAATCCATTCCTTTGTTTTCTGTCAATCCGGGGCTTTGAAGGCATCCTCCTTGTCAAAGGTGCTTTCGCTCAAGAGCATCCGAAGAAATTAAAATGTCAAATAATAATAATAATAATAAAAGAAGGCTTGTTATTTTTTGCTTGAGGCAAGCCCATGGTGGTTTGGGAGGGCCCCCCCCCTCTCTCTCAGGGAAGGAGGCTGAATTGATGGGCCTACCTCACCCCACCCTGAAAGGCATCTCCACCTGGGTCGGAGGACAGCAAAAAAGAAAGAAAGAAAGAAAAAAAGAAAAAAACAACCAAGCCAACCCAACCCCAAGCCAATTTGGACTGGAAGGAACAGACAGAGACAGTGGGAAGCCACCAAGTGCATCTCTTTCAGAATCGCCTGAGTCATTGCTTGGATTGGGAGGGGGGTGGTGGCTGGGTGGAGGCAGTCACGCACTACCACGCAAACACACACACACACACACACAGCAGATGAAAGCTTGCAACAACAGGTAAAAAAAAAAGAGAGAGAGAGGGAGAGGCTGCGAGAAAGAGATGGAGCGTCACCCCCTGAGAAAATGGACCAGCCTTTCTTTCAGCTCCCTTCCCATTCCGGGGTGTGCAGCCGGCCAGCCTTTTAGCCAAGAGTTTGACGGGCAAAACACAACAAGGCTGTGGAGACTTGAAGTCCGAGGTGCCCATTGCAGCAGCATCGCTTCCTTCCTGGGGGGGGGGGGGAGGCGAGATCTGCCCCGGCCAAAACCTTGCAACGTCTCTTCCCCGCCCCATCAGCCACAGCCAAGGGGTACCCAGCATATTGCAAGGGAGCCGCTGCTCCAAGCACGGGAGGCGGAACGAAGACGGGGAAAGACTCCCGACACCAAAAGGCAACCTTCCAGGCGCGGACCGGGAGCGAAGGAAGGAGAGAAAAGAAAGAAAGAAAGAAAGAGAAAAAGAAAGAAAGAGAAGAAACGCTTACTCCATTTTTCAGGACTCCGCGGTGCTCCCCTCGGCTACTCCCGGCAGTCTGGCGGTCTTGCAAGGTGCAAGAAAAGGGAGGGGGAAGAGCCGGTTTAGCGGGATTAATCTTCCTCTCCTCCTCCTCCTCCTCCTCGTCAAGAGCTCTGATTTCCAGAGGCCGTCAGAGAAGGTGGCGGTGACGGCTGCACCTGACGACTCCACATCCCATCCGGCGTTGGTTACCGTCCCGAGCGGATGAGCTGTGCGAGCCGAGGATGCGAAGCCTTGGCTATTATGCGCGAGTGTGGGATGGATGTGTGTGTGGTGTGGTGTGTGTATGTGTGTGTGTGTATGTGCGCGGGTGCAGTTGAGCCCCCACCTCCCCTCCCAAGCCGGCCTTCCTCCAGCATTGCAATAGCGCCCCTTGCTGGTCGCCTCCCGCCACGGCGGGTGTTTTCTCCAAAAAGCAGAGAGGCAGCCGGCGAGCTCTGAATGCAGGCGAGAGGCTTCTGAGGGAGCCGAGCGGTGCGCGACGGCTGGTGGGAGCCGCCCGGTTGCTTCAGCGCTTCTGCCCTCGCCTCAGCTCGTTGCGGCGAGCTGCGCTGCTTTCTTACACTCCGGAGGGAAAGAAGATGCGGCTTGGTTTTCCTCATGGCGCTCGGTTTTTAAAAGCGGGTTTGCTTTGGGCTTAGCGCAAGGGGCGCTTTCTGGGCTTGAGAAAGGGCGCTAAATTCAGAGCTTCGCTTTATCAGGGCTGGCTGGCTGGTTTGACAAGCCACGGTTAAAATGAGCCATGAATGCAAACCATGATGAGCTTCGGTCTGGGCACAAACTGCCCGAGAAATCCGCGAACGAGAGGATGGGTTTCGCGGAACAGCCGAGAAATTCGCCTTGTGGGCAAGAGGATGTCTTCTGACTGGAAGAAAAAGAAAGGACAATTCGACACAAGACCCATTCCTAGCCAGAGGAAATCCCTAAGCAAATTAGCTGGCTTGCTTGGTTGCATTTATGTGATAGATTGCATCACTGTGGGACAAAGGCACTCTGGGCATGTGCAGAGTGTTTCCCTCTTTGGAACAAAAAGAGAAAGTAGGGAAATCACAGCAACAGACACAGGCCAGCGTTTCAGCAGAAACACAATTAACAAACATAGAAGAGCTTTCCACTTTTATGTGGTTAGGCCTGGGTTTCTCAACCTCAGCGATTTTAAGAAGTGGGAGAGCTCCCAGAATTCTGCAGCCATTCTGGGGAATTCTAGGAGTTGGAAGTCCGCACGTCTAAAAATGGCTGAGATTTGAGAAACAGTGGTTCAGACCAAAATGAACTGAAAACTTTACAGGGAGAGGGAGGAACAGCTGAGTAGGTTGGCTAAGACGTGATCCACTCATATTTACTCCTCGCCAAATATGCTCTCCAGTGAGAAATGAAGTTGCCTTATAATCACAGCTTCGCACAAAATACTGAATCCAACCCTGGTTGGCGAGCGTCAACTATGTTCCCATAATATTCTGGGCCCAGGCAGATAAATCTGCTTAGCCTTAGGGTATACAGCAGGGGTCCCCAAACGTGGCAGCTTTAAGACTTGTAGACTTCAACTCCCAGAATTCTCCAGCCAGCTGAGAGTTGAAGTCCACAAGTCTTAAAGCTGCCAAGTTTGAAGACCTCTGGTATACAGGGATGGTCTGTTTTGCTTCTGTCACCTAAGACAATACACAGAAGTAGAGGGGCCTTCAAAGATCATCTGTTCAATTCCCAGCCAATACCCAAATTCAACATGATGACTACTCTGACGGGGGATTATCTAGTGCAGGGGTCACCAACCTTTCGAGCCTAAGGGACCACTAAATCCATAATTTTAAATCCCGCGGACCACTAATATGATCTCCCTAATGACTGGCTGGGTGGGCGTGACTAGGTGATCATGTGACTGGGTGGGCGTGGCCAACTCAATGTCACTCAAATCGAGGGGCACCTCGCCAGCCTCTACTCACCCCTCCCCTTCCTGCCACTCCTTGCCTCTCCGCCTGGGCTCCTAACCCTAACCCTAACCCTAACCCCAACAGGAAGCAGTTGTTGGAGCCAAGCAGCCACCATGAGAAAGAGTTGGCAAAACACTTCAGTTCAAATTGGATCTGACCGAGAAGGAGGCTCAGTAGAAGCACCTTACTGAGGACCACAAGCATAGGTTTTCTAAGCAGAGGGAAGACCTGTGGGAGTGCAAGGCCAGGTACCGGCGCCTGGAGGCTCAGCAGGCTGAGATGGTCAGCAAGTTCCAGGCCATGATGCAGTCCCACTGGAACAAGGTCCTCCAGCTGTTCGCCATCAGCGGCACTTCCCTCCAGCCTTCGCCCAGGAGGCTGGAGCAGACCCCGTCAGAATTTCTGTCCTTCTCCAACCCACACAAAAAGGCCCCAAAGGGGGAGACTCTCTGCAGCAACACAAATGTTCATTGCATGTATCTGTCCCAGGGGCCGTAGTTTGAGGACCCCTGATTTAGTGCAATACAAAAAATGCAAATAATTTTTCACCAAAATTTTCTTGCAGATCACCAGTGGTCCATGGACCACCAGTTGGTGACCGCCGATCTAGTGCCTCTTAAGGGTGAGTCACACAACCCTTTGTCCCAATGGTGCTTTTCCCACAAGGCAACTGGACTTTCTTAGGTTTTTTTTTTTTTTTGAAAACATTTTGTGTCTCATCCAAACCGTTTCTTCACTTCTTTTTGGGTGAGAAATGAAATGTTTTCAAAGGGGGAAAAAGACCCCCAAAAAAGTCCAGTTGCCTTTTGGAAAAAAAAAAAACCTTTGGGACAACCATGAACCTGGATGATTGAGACTCTCCACAGACATACAATCCTTGTCAAAGATTGTTACGGAGTTGCTTGTGTTTATTCCCCCTGGCTTAACTCATTTGAAGGAGGTGAAAAATACATCACACCACCCACATGAGCTGCATTTGCACAACATGCGAAGCTAAAACCAAAGCGATGAGCAGTGCCCTCCCATCCCAGAAGAATATTAATTGAGCTTAGGATGTTGTGTGAATGCATCCGCTAGGTTTATAGCTGGCTTAGCGTGCTGTCTATATGCAGTCCATTTCTTACAGTAATTTCTTTTCTGCAATAAACACACCTGACTCTCTCAACCTTTTCTTGTGAAGTTAGACTCTGCGCAATTACAGGTAGTCCCTGACTTATGACTGGTCGCTTAGTGACTGTTAACCAGGGGTGAAATCCAGCAGATTCTGACAGGTTCTGAAGAACCGGTAGGGGAAATTTTGAGCAGTTCGGAGAACCGGTAGCAGAAATTTTGAGTAGTTCAGAGAACCAGAAAATACCACCTCTGGCTGGCCCCAGAGTGGGATGGGAATGGAGATTTTGCAATATCCTTCCCCTGCTATGCCCACCAAGCCACACCATGCTCACCAAGCCACGCCACGCCCACCAAGCCACGCCAACAGAACCGGTAGTAAAAAAAAAACTGGATTTCACCACTGCCGTTAACATTACAACTCAAACCTGAAAAAGCTACTTACAACCAGGGGTGAAATCCAAAATTTTTCCCTATCGGTTCTGTGAGCATGGCTTAGTGGGCATGGTGTGGCTTGGTGGGCATGGATACTGCAAAATCTCCATTCCCATCCCACTCCAGGGGAAGAATACTGCAAAATCTCCATTCCCTCCCCACTCCAGAAGAAGGATATTGCAAAATCTCCATTCCCACCCCACTCGGGGGCCAGCCAGAGGTGGTACTTGCCAGTTCTCCAAACTGCTCAAAATTTCCGCTACCGGTTCTCCAGAACCTGTCAGAACCTGCTGGATTTCACCCCTGCTTACAACCTATTTTGAGTTACCTCAGAGGTGGTTTTTCAAAAGACAGCTGGATTGGTTTTTTTCCCCTGAGGAAGAAGAAGAAGAAGAAGATGTTTCGTTTCTCATCCAAGTAACGTCTTCTTCTTCTTCCTTAGGGAAGAAAAAACAGTCCATTTGCCTTTCGAAAAAGCATCTCTGAGACAACTATGACCTGGATGACTGAGAATCTCCACAGACAGTTTTGGAGTTCTGACATGCTCCCCCCCCAGTCATTATTTTGAGTGCTCAGCCACCTGCACACATCTGTAGACGTTTGCAGCACCCCGCAGTCACGTGACTGATTTATGATGCTTTTGCCAGAAATTGACTTTTACTCCCGGTTTCCAAAATAAAACCCAAAACAACCCCTATAGCAAACAATGGCTTCGCTTAACGACCAATACATTCACTCCCTGGCCATGGCATTTGCTTAATGACCACCACAAAAAAAGTCATAAAATTGGGCGTGGTCACATGGGTGAGCCACTTAATGACCATTACAACTCACAGTCAAAATTGCAGACTCAGGGTCGTAAGTCAAGGACTACATGTTACTGAAGTCTCCTTCAAGATGATTTTTTTCCTGATGGCTAGAGTGACATGGCAATAATAAATAAAGTTGTTTGTCATCTCTTCTTCCTCCTCCTCCTTCTGTTCCTCTGATCCTGTTTAGTTCTTTTCTAATCAGCCAAAATCAGCCAGGTGCTGCCACCAGTTGGCCTTAATTAAAGAATTCTTGCCAAATCCATTGCCTCTTCAATGTATTTCAGGTGTGATATGGCTAACTTGTTTGTGTCAGAACCATCACAATGAAAATAAGGCATACTTTACAGCGTAGCATTTAAAATATAAAAGACAAAATTAAAATATGTACAAGTTAAACAGATTTTGCCCAAAAACTAGCAACATTAATTGTGCTGTGTTGTGCTGCCATGATATCTGCAACAGGGGTGGGTTCTAAATTTGTTTACTACCGATTTTGTGGGCGTGGCTTATTTTGTGGGCGTGGTTTGATGGTCATGTGACAATTCTTTAGGATTTAGCAGAGGTACTGGTCTACCAGGCTTTTAGCTGCTTGCAGAGCTGTACCAGTCTACTCATTTGTTCTTGGAGGCACCGGTCTATTCATTTGTTTTTGGAGGCACCGGTCTACCACCACACTGCCTTTTAACACTGATCAGCTGTAGGGCGGCCCTTTGAAGCCCCGTGACAAGAGTTTAAACAGCTTTTTTTCCTTCTAGCCGATCATCTGGGACTCGGGAGGCAGCGAATAGATTGGGGGGCGGGGCCAAATAAAAAGTAAGAATAACGTAGGGGGCGGGAGGGCCCAGCTCCCAAACAAAGAGAACCGGTTCAGTGACATCATATCGTCACAGCTACCGGCTCTGCCGAACCGGGCCGAACCGGGAGGAATCCACCACTGATCTGCAAGTGTACACTGAGCGCAGGTATACATATGATATGTGTTGTTGTTGTTGTCACCACAATTGCAATGGGC